AACCAGTTCTCTCAGTCATTGTGTGTTTATCTAAAAATAAATACGTTTAAATTCACGTTCTTCCCTGCCGTGCACCAACGGCTTAGGGGTAAAATCACCGACTGACGCCAATTCAGCTGGGTTTCAGAGGCAACCGAACGTCTAGTCACACTGATGAGCTGTGATACAGAGAAGCAGTATGTCTGTGGATGACAATATATATATATATATATATATATATATATATATATATATTGCATGGAAACTGTCAGTTTTACACGAAAGTGATCTTCTGATTTGATGCGTGAAACTAACATTCTCAATGTGGATTCCTATGTCTATGGAGACAGTGTTATGAGCGCAGATCCTAAAATCTCGATGACCAGAATCTGACAGCTGATCTCTCTTCTGGTCGAGCTCTAACTGCTCTCTGAGGGAAAACAGGCTTGTAGCATTCAATAATTCATTACCTTTTTTCAAATTTTCTTTTCGTAATTACTTTTAATGAAGAGAATATGTTTTTGATAGTGTATTTTAGCTGGGTGATTACCTTTTTTATGCGGAAACATTCATTGACCAAACAGAATAACTAAATAGTATTGCTTTTTCTCGTATAGAACAGAATTTCCTTCCTAACCTTTTGTCTAATGTACTGTGGAAAGTCATCATCTTGTTTATATCATTCTCGTGGAGTTAATGTTCTATCTATTTTAATCTTAGTTGTTGCTGTTGATGAAAGTTCTCAAGTGATGTGATTTCTGTCATCTGGCCGAGATTTATTAGGGAATGTGTAGCGCCATCCCACTGGAATTGATAAAGAATAGCTAAGATAATAGTGTATAATATAGAGTTCAATAAGTAGGTTCAATTGAAATCTATTTAAGAAACGGTGTAGATAAAACTAATTTGGACGCTTCTATAAAAATAAAAGCATATTCGCAAATTTTATGAATGATTTTTACTGATTACTGCTGAATATCCCCAAAATGGCGATCTGTATTCCAGATAGGTGACGAACTTCAACTAGATCGTCTCTTTCCACACTATATCACGTTCAGACTAAGGTGAGCCTATTCTTCCCAACCCAGCATTCGGAATGCTATTGATGACAGTGGACTGTTTTCAAAGAACGTGTGTGTCACAAAGATACGGATGTTAAAAGATTTCTTGAATCCGGTGAGACATCAGAAATTTATGGTTCACTTTGGACATAAAAAATGCTTGTCCCCAGGTGGGTAGGACCGGTAATCTAGGCAGACATGATCGACCATCAAACACCACTCTTAACACTTTTGCTTTCATGATCTTTTTTTCGCTCACAAAATATATATATATATATATATATATATATATATATATATATATATATATATATATGAGAGGTACTGTAAAAAGTGATTTGGGTCAGAGTTTTGGAATTGTGATCGGGCGAGAAATTTGTATGACATACGTGTATAAAGAAAACTGATCATTTATACAATTAGACATAAAAGATTTTCAGCCAGCTATTAATGAACACTAAACAACGCATTAAATTTAACAAAACACATCATCAATATCCCCAATATGCACATAAACATAGTTAAACACGACTGAAAATCAATATTATACATAAAAAAAATGTGGACAAAAAGGCCAAACTAATAATAATAATTTTGGCGAAACAATGGGTAGCTATGATGGCAAAAAAGTATGCGAGCTCATAGGCATATATATAATCAATAAATTAACAAATATTACTAACAAAAAAGATATAGTCCATGCATGGACGACGGTCTATTATTCCAAAGAAATTGCAATTACAGAAAAATAAAACAAGATATAATATAACCCTTCAAAGTCCTAGGATTTAGGATATAAAATCGAATAAAAGAAATAGTAATTTTCTTAGATATAACATTCACTCTAAACAACGGAACATACAAGCCATAGAGTAAACCAAATAACAACCCAATATACATGAACAAAAATTCAATAATCACCGCCTAACCTATTTAAATAAATACTCATATCTATATGTAAAAGAATTTCAACAAATTCTAGTAGCCTAAAAATATTCAACGAAATTTAAAAAAACAATACCAATCAGCCCTAATAAACATCGGATATTCAAACAAGCTATAATACAAAAACAAAAATAATTAAAACAAAAACAACAGAAAGAGAAATATAATACACCCCAAACTACAACAATGCAATAAAAACAAAAATAAGTAAAGTATTCTTAAAAAAAATGAAAAAATTTCCATAAAAACAGCAAATTATCAAAAAATACCAACAAAAATGCAATAAAAATTAATTATAGTTGGATGGATAAAAGGAAAAAATAATAACTAAGCACGATAAAAATATTCACCCAAACCAATAACAACTACAATAATAATAACAATAACATACAACACCATTAAATATAGCTGTAGAAACAAAGAAAATTACCCACTTAACAATAAATGCTTAATCAATAACATAATATACAAAACTAGCAGAAACAATAGCATTAACACAGACAAAAAGATTTACACAGTGGCCACAGAAAAAAAAAATTAAAGAAAAATATAACCACAAAATGTTATTCGAAAGAAAATATACACAGACAACACAACCCTATCAAAATACATATGGAGCCAAAAAGTAAACAATATCAGATGGGAAATCATATGGGAAATTATAAAAAGAGCAACCCTATACAGTATTAACAGTAAAAATCATAAATTATGCTTAGAGGAAAATTTAGCAATAATTAGTTTCAAAAACCAAAATAAACTCTTAAACAAGAAAACTGAGATAATGGGCAAATGTAGGCATCTAAATAATTATTTATTTTGCCATGTAAGCACTAACTAAAAATAAACAAATAAAAATAAATAAAATAAATATGAACTTGAAAAAAGATATAATTAAACTTTAAATAAATAAATAAAACATATAATATTAACTTAATTTATTAATAAACAAATAAACGAATAAATATTAAAGTACGCAACTATGTGCGCGTGCGTAAATGTACATGTGGACATGTACACACAGAAACAAACAACAAAAATTGAACAGACTTAACCTTCCATAATTTATCCCGCAATATATAACATGAAGGCAAAAGTAAATAAACTATTATTAAATAAAAATAAGAATAAGACTTCTGCCCTAATTCTCTGTGTAATCCTATATCATCGATGTTGATATCTTAGTGAGCACTAAATTCTCAACATTGATGTCATAGGGTTATATAGAGATTATAGCTTTATGGTGATGAGAAATTACACAAAAATTAAAGCTGACGAAATCAGGAAATTAATGCATAGAGAATTTAAAAGTCTCAACCTTTTAAGTTCAGATCAACTTTAATTTATTAAAAAATTAGATGTTGTAGTTGTCGTTAATGTTACCTTAGACCTAATTAATAATGCATTCCAGTCCTACATGAAACCAAACGCCAATCTACAATACATCCACCCAATTCTAACCATCATCATTCCGTAATCAAACACATACCTTCCTCCATAGAATATAGGATGAGCAATAACTCTTTCAGTTGAAATGTCTTTTATAACACTGCCGTAAAAATAGTGGCTATAATTGCCCTGACATCAACTATATAACTCATAAAAGCGATAGTAGGAATAAAAATAAAAGCAGAAAAAAATCATTTGGTATTCGCACCATTTAAGCAAACGTTTAGTACTAAGTCCGGACTGAAATTTATCCATTTAATTGAGAAACAATTACCAAGAAATAATCCACTTGATAAGATTTTACAATAGAAATATACTAAAACTAAGCTATAGCCGTACCGTTGATCTTGAAAAAAATATTAAAAAACATCAATACAAAAACCTGAGTAATAATTGTCATTCCAATAGAAAATACCAACAAGTGTAATTGTAGAAATTCTAACGAGTGTATATTACAAAACATATGTCAGACTCTCTTGTTTACTTACTATAGAAAATACAAGTTAAAAATTTTCATATCGGGCAAAATAGGACGTCTCTTTCTAGGTATTTTTTAAAATTAAAAGAAATTAATAAAATGCCTACGGTAAGATGGAAAATATTAAAAAAAAAAAAAAAAAACAAAAAAAACTATAATTTGTGCTAAAATGAACCGTGCTTCTTATGGTTACATGAAAAATTACAAATAATCAAATTTGCTGACAAAAAAATCTGTTAAACCAGAGGAGTGTATTAACTGTAAATTGCCGGCACAGTTTATCTTTTACCTTAGAATATAGTTATTTTTTAAATTACGTATTACCATTTCTTATAGCCATAATTTATTAGTATATAATGATCCACGCCATGCAGGTAACTGCCTTATTTTGTTTATTCAGCTTAAATATAGCTATGTATTGCCTTTCAGTTAGTATTATTAATATTGTATATAGACGTTCCACTTTTAATTTTATCTATAAGCACCTGTAACAACCTGCCTGAATATAAACATTTTTTTTTAATTTTCAGTTAACGTTACGCCTAATGAACCCACCCCTCCCTTCAAACGGCATTTTTAAGAATTATACATGTCAAATTTGTCTACAATCACGATACATTTGTCGCTGGCCCATTTTCTACAAACGTCAATGATGACAATGTTCCGATTTATCGTGACATGAAAAAATAACTCACCCACCTCCTCTCTCTGAGCTTACTTTTCTATTTAGAGTAGATCTGATATTTAATTGGTTAATCAAGACATACCCACAAATCTATTTTTTATTCTGACCTTATGTCCCCGACTTTAACTTTCGAAAAAGAGGTAAGACTTTGTTTTTAAATTTCCTTAAAAATCATTTAATCAACTGTTACTTACTATTGCCTGAAGAAGTACAATCATAGTTTTGAAACATGAAAGCTTTTGTGTAGGGATTTCAAAATAGTTTTTATTATAATCTCTTATAATAAAATATAATAATAATATATTGCTCTACTTTCTTTTGAGCACTTTTTTAAAAAGTAAATGCTACGAACAGTGGATTTTTGCTCCATCTGTACTTTCTCTCATTTGGACATACACACACACACATAGATAGATAGATAGATAGATAGATAGATAGATAGATAGATATGTTGTCTAAGCATTAATACCAATTATTAATATGAAAATGTAAATAAACGAGAGACAAATTATCTAGCAAAAAAAAGAAAACTTAAAAAATTCTCATGAATAAAAAAAATAAATAAGAATAAGCCACATGTCTAGAGCCGGATCAAAACCAAACTAAATTTGCTACAGATAAAAAAAATACGAAAAAATGGCAACATGATCAAGACACACATCCGTGCAGACGGGTGGCCACAAACACGTGGAAAAGCGAACGCACAATCCCAGAGAATACAGAAGAAAATTTAAACCGGCGTTAATGTATATAAAAAGGGAAAAAATTGAAAAAAATATAAACATTAAATTGCTAATGTTCTCTGAAGAGTGGATGAACGCGTCCGTCTAGGTAACTGTGGAGTCGAAATGCTGAAGATAACATGAGCAATTTTTACTCACATTAATTACATATATATATATAAGGTCTTTCTTCAATACGGATGCTACCTGAATTTTACCAAAAACAAAATAATTTCCATGTCTGAAGATGACTGAATGTACAGTTGAAAGTACTTGCGTATTAAAGAAAAACCTTATACAGCTTATAATTTTTTAAAAACACGGATCATAACATTCGTCGAGTGATTTGTAGGTTAATGCACCTTTAAAATTTTGTTAGCGAAGGGATTTTGCAGTTTTATATCATTAACATTACTAATCTACCTTTTGTATGAATGATTCATTGTAATATATATATATATATATATATATATATATAATCCTATTTTCTTAATCTAAAAGTAAAGTGTGTGTTTTTGTATGTTTGAGCTTCTCTGTGTTTGCTTTCCTGTTACGCACACTCTCACAGTAGAAGACAAACCCCATGGGTCTGAGTATTCGAGCTATTTTCATTCGCGAAATAATTTATAGGAGTGATCCTTCTACACATGGGCTTATAGGTTTGACTGTCAACGCACATAATACAACTACTCAAGTTTACATGTGAAATTTGTTCATTTATATATTTTCTAGTCTTTGTTTTGGTTGATTATCTTTTCAATAATGTATTTTGTTGACTGTTTATTTTACTATTTCTTTTAATCCAATTATTCATAAACAATTTTAACACATTAGTCAATAATATCTTCGTCTTCAATATTCACCATGTCTTGACAATGTTCCCCCAGCTTTAAAAATAAGTACAAAAATATTACGTTAAGAATATGTGGTGTGTTAAATGAAATAAGTTTGGAAAAAAAGAACGAATTTATCTGCGAACACAAGTGATAGCAGAATAGGAAATTTTCACACAGCAAAGCTATGCGTTAATTGTTTTGTTTACAATTTAGAGGGGGTTGGGGTAGGAGGAACTTTACACTCTACGTCTACAATGTATTTTTTTCTTTTGCCAGTGGTACGACCGGACGTCACAACGTTTTGTTTTGTCATTTTTTTTCTTCTTAAAGTTTTTGAGGCGACAGACAGGCAGCAGAATTTATAATACGTCTTATCGTGTGATTGCAGAATCACATGAGCGAATGATCATTCTGTTTTTCATGGCACAGACAAACCTCTCATCTACGGACACAGCATCAACGGATTTCAGATGCAACGGACAAAATCTGAAGGCAAAATAAAAAAAAAACTTCTGCAGGGAAAAACCTTCCAAATCGTCAGCGATGTATTTCAAAATTTGCGGGCTTAGCGGAAAAAGTCGTATTAGTTCTCAAAGTGTCCGCTTGGTGGCAGTGGCGGGCTTTTCAGTTGTAAACAAAGACGGAAAGTACGATACATTAGCGCGTGCGTGAGACAGTAGCTGTGATAAATTACTCTTTTTGTTATTTTGATTAACATAACTATATTATGTATTTATTTATTTATGCTACATATACATATTTATAGCATTTAAATTATGATCATAACGACTGGTAGTTACTATAGGGATTTTATAACTAAAAAAATCCCTACCCATCTACGGGCAATCGGTTTTAACGGACCGTAATAGTCCGTTGATGACAGGATAGTCTGTATTTCCAACTATATAACTGGTCGACGAGACTCAAGAGTTGCGTTTACTTAGCGGTAATGAGTTAAACATTACACAGTTTTAAAAAAAATCAGAGAAAACCTGCCCAGTAACTTTCTCTTGCTCAACCACAGGGATAGGTTTACTCAGAATTTAAAACTTGAAAACTGACAGTTATATCAATCCTGAATGTGAATGCTGGACAATATTCTCACAGATGAAGAAAATATTGGAGGCAACAGAGATTTAGTTCTACAGAAGGATGCTGAGAATATCATTGACAGAGCATTTAAGTAATGAGGAAGTTTTAAAACAAAACGAACACTGATATTTAAAATCAGAAAGTGATTTAATGTTCTAGGATACATCAGCAGGAAAGAAGTTTTAGAAAGTTTGACAATTCCAGGACAAATTGAAGGCCGGAAGGGAGAGAAGAAACATGAAGTAACATGCTTAACCTGCTTCTGTAGATGGAGGGCAAAACAAGGAATTGGAGGTAAGACAAATGTTCTTGGATTACAAAAGAAAATATTTGTCGCAGATTACCTCCACTACGAAAAGAACGAATCATTGTAAGTTCAGATTCGAAGATCAGGAGCAGAAAGAATGTCGAAATCTCGATATTTACAGATACGATGTCACAAATCCCAATGCACGTAACCAGTCAAAAAAATAACTCACTCGGCCGCGGTAGCTACATACACGAATTTTGTCTTTTTTTTTTTTACCCCGATTCGTGAACACCAAATGCTTTTATCGACCAAGCATTATTTTTCAATCGTAGAAAACTGGGAGAGGACGCACAATATTAGCATATCAAAATACTTTTATGGCGACTCCTGCGACTGATTTGTTTCTAATTTGAATATTCCATCTTCAACATATCATGCAGAATACGTGCCCTTTTTTCAACAACGCCACATTTTCCGTCGTAGGATACACGCGACACGCTGTCGCTTGGTTTGACGAGGTAATTTGCCGTATTCTTCGCTATAGATAAGAACTAAAAAGGATATGAAGTTGCGGAGAACTACGATCAGAGACTTCCTGAAGGGATAGGCCACAAGAAGAAATCTAGAGTATAGTCTTCCCTGGTGTTTACGCATAACTAAGGGAAGAAGTGAGTTCATGCCTTCCCAAATCAAATTAAACAGCCTTGTTCGAAACCGATTCCGTTCAGAAATTCAATTTAATGAACTGATAACCGCTATGATACCCAGAAATATCTCGCTGTTTTAATCTATGATTTATAAAGATGATGGCCTCTCCCGAATAACTGTAATTTTTATAAGATGGGAAAGTCTATCATACATAAAATAAGGAGTTACTTTTAAATCACCTTCTAGATCTTAAAACTTAGCTTCCTCACAATAGGGCGAACATAAGCCAGAATGATTTGTATTAATAGTGAGTTCGATCTGCGATGGCTACTCGATAGGGAGTTTGACATTTAATAACCCAATTCTGTTAGGTGCCTCATCTCAAGGGAGCGTTCATTTATTAATTTTGAGGAAATTTTCCGCCCCGGGAATATTAAAACCACCCGCTTATTAATTTCGCACTTTTGAACACTTTAATGAGTTTCCGGTTTTATTAATATCCGCCGTTTATTTCATATTGAGAAAAATTCCGACCCCGCTCCTGTTAAAAGCATTCTTGCTTTAGGAAAGAGGTGAGTGATTCACAACGCTTTCTCAGGCTAACGTTTTCTGTTGGCATGAAGTGGAAAAATTATATTGAGTTAATTCCTAGGTCTGCTGGTAGGAAACTTGTTTCAATGACGACATAGAAAATTCCCACCAGAATCTGTCTTACATATTCAGAAGTCTACCATTCGCCCATGCGTTGAATATTGCTGTCACATCCAGGATGGTATTTCAGCTATGGATTTCCAGATTCTAGATAAAATACAAAGAGTCGGCAATGTTATTGGTCCTGACCTTTGTATCTCGGCTTCAGTCACTTTCCCAAGTACACTCTGCGATGGATAAATTTGTCGTATTTTATATTTTTAATTTCGTGCATGCTCCTTGTTTGTTTTTGATTTTGTCAACTGCATCCTATAATAACGTAAGTTGGGCATTGTCTGTGAGAAAAAAAAAAGTACCATGACGCAATACACTCCTCCAGAAATTTGGAAACGGACTGCTATTCTGCTTGATCGGAAGCTCCAATACTAACATTTCAGAGTCTTGGGGTGTTAATTTGAGAACGATACAGAGGACTCGGAAAGAGTTAGATGAGTCTAATTGTGATTGAGAAGATACGGAAGTACGGAAAACTAACTCTGGTTGTTCTAATACGAAAATATCTCCCGAATTTGTTGGGGAGGTCCTTAGGCTCGACACGGAAACCGGCATCAACTGCCTTCAGGAAGTAGTGCTCCCCTGGGTCCAGAAGTAAAAGACGCTGTTTTTAAAACCCCTTTTCCCTGGAGAGCTCAACCGGATTTTCGGGAGCATATATATATATATATAATCATCCACAGACAGTCTGTTTTGCTGTATCACAGCTCCTCAGTGTGTCTAGACGTCCGATTGCTTCAAGTCGGGATCGAAACCTGACTAATATGACATTAGTCAGATATTTTACCCTTAGGCGATCGGGAAGAAAAGGGAATTTTAACGTCTTTCTCTATACCAAATACTCTCGGAGAAATCAATTCATAATTGAAACGTACTGCTTAATAGCAGTAGGGGCTGTTTTGATAGATAGATAGATAGATAGATAGATAGATAGATAGATATTAATTTATCCATCGTACCCTGAAGTTTCTCTGCGCATATTCTATGAATATTATTATGGTACCTGTTGCGATGAACTTCCTCTTTTGTACCTAGACCTTATGAATTTACGTGTAGTATTAGATTGACGACAATATCTCATAATTTTACCTTTAAAGCTGGATGTAAGTTCTATGAAAACAATTCCTTCTGTCGTTTCTGGAACTCTCTTGGGATTTCTTAGACTTCCCAGTTAACTTTGATCTTCCAAATTTCTATCGATATCTTCCGTCTTTTTAATAACTGTTCTTTTATTGTTCTTTTATTGATCCTTCTCTTTAATAATATTTTGTTAAATATTCTCTAATACTCAGTAATCCCATAGATAACATTGTACAAAATGAACATTTATTTGTACTGAGGCTCACTATAGACCTCACGATGAATCACCAGTAAAGACGCTGGGAAAATAAATGTTTTCACCATTCTGGTATGTACTTGACTGCTCCTACCAATCTCTATCTTTACAAGAGTCAGGCACTGAGAAATCTAAATTTAAACTTAAATGTTAATATACCGAGTGTAACAGCAAAATTATCCAAATCGGGTATCAGCATAATTATCCATCAAACAAAATGTTTAATATCTAAAAAAAAAAACCACTAAACTAATTGATTTTTTTCCCTTCAGATTTTCAGAGGAGACGGTAAGCCATCTTGAGACCATTTATTGTAAGAATCACTGAAAACCCCTTTTAGAAAGAGAACAGGTTAAAATCGTTTTGTGTCAGGCCCACTTTCTTCCCAACTGAGCAATGATGAGAGGAAGAAGATAATTCAGGCCTTCAGTAATGGTACCAACATTCGTACTCTGGCTTCCATCTTCAAAATTCATTGAAGAACCACCAAGAGAACGGTGAATAAGTTTTAAAAAGAGGGAAGAGTAGAGAGAAAAACGGGATCAGGGGGTCACAACAGAAAGAAGGATCATCATTTCAACGAAGAGCTAAAGAGATCAATTAGAAAAGATCCAACTCTATTCGTAAGACGTTTGCCACTTGAGAGAGGAGTTTCAGCTATGACAGTCCAAAGTGAAGTGAAAAAAACCTGACATTGTCCGTGAAACGTGTGAGGTACCTTCTTACTGTAGGACAGAAAGATAGAATGTTAGAGAGGGCGAAGATCATTTTAAATAAGTTGGGAAATAATCCTGGAATATATATATATATATATATATATATATATATATATATATATATATATATTTGAACTTTATTTCAATCCTTCATGAGCTTCCGATCCTTAGATATGATTAATGAATGATGAACATGTCATTTTCATTTACGATCGATTTCATCACGATGCTTCTGTTAAGCTTAAGGAGTAATTATACATACTTATTGTTCAAAGTAGAGTCCATGTGTTATGAAAACACTGGAGGATTCTAGTAAGATATCTTTAAGCATTTCTAAGATAAAACAGTTCAACTCTTAATCTAACAAAGAGATAATTTTGCTTTTACACGATTTGGACAATCTTGCTGTTACATCCGGTATGTCTTAGGCTAGACAATTTCATTTGGTTTCTTTTTCATTTTGTTTCTGTTCTCACATTGTGATAATAGAGGTTCTGCGAAGGAAGTTGATATGCAGTCAGAACCTGAACGTAAATATACTGTGGATGGTCTAGCGATTAAAGCACTTTCTATACATTTTCCTTTTAGTAAAATTGCTTTCTTTTTTATTAGACTATATACCAAACTCATATATTAAAATTGGCAGCTACATTTGATCTTTTTTACTGTGGTAATTGCTAGTTGCAACCGTAAGTTCTATTCTAATAGTTTCTTCTCATACTTCTCGAAGGTGCATCTTTCTAATGGGTTCTTGCTTCCCTGTCAAATACGATTTTCAAAAATGTAAATATAACATTAATTGTTAGTTTTTGTCTTTTATTAATCCTGTCTTTGATGGGCCACTGAGTGTGTCAATGATCAGGCAAAGTTGAATAGTGCCTTTAAACAGAATTTTTTCTCTGCCCCTCTAAATAGACAGGGTAGCGCATATTTTTATCTAATAAGATATCTCGAATATTCAGGCCGGTAGACGAAAATAAATAAATCTACTGTTTAATAATTAAACGGAGCATCTATTCAAATACGAGAATTCACTAAAAATAACGTTTTCAGTAATAAAGTCTGTCGGATTAATAAACAAATAAGAATCCCTTTCTTTAGAAATTGCTTTATTTACGTTAGGATACGAAACTAAGCATATATGTCTATTCCGAAGGTCAGAGAAAAATCTGTGTTTAAAGGTACTACTCAACTTGGACACCGGCGCAGCCCATGGCCGAAAGTCCGTCAGATCTAATGAAGGATTCCCCTCGAGGATAGTCCTGGGTATGACGATGAACTACATCCGGCAGCAAGGCCTCTGATCGGGAGATTGGAGGTTTCAAGGAGTGTGGGACCATATCTTAATTGCCGTTGTACTCAGGTCCACTCAGACCCAGAGTGGTAGCACCTGTTAGGATCCCGGCTATGGGTAAATAGTGACCGATCCAAAACGAAACCAAAACGCCATGAAAATATAAAGATACATTTTATAGTAAAGATACCAACAATAAAATTTATATAAGAATTACCAATACGCACATACTAACAAATTGTAGCGACTTCATTTAAAACCTATTTAAAATACTACTAAACAACTAACATGAAAGAACTTTCATTACATTAAGCTATATAGTACCTTACAATTTCTTGCGGTCTAGGAGGTTAGATAGCCAGATCTGGAGATTTAGGTGACTAGATGTAAGGGGGGGTGGTCGCAGAAATTGTCTGACTGTTATGACAGGATTCTCTTGTTTATGTGGCATGATGCAGAGTTCGGTTTTCCAGATATATGGTCTTCCAACAACCATTCTTCTGACCCAAGACATCACTACCTCTTCAAGGCACTTGATGTCGGCCTACGTGTTGAGCCTGAGTCTATCACCAAGAAATTCAGAAGTTCTCTTATCAAAATGATCAGAATGAGTTTTCTCCATTAGACTCATCCAAATCTTTCCAAATCCTCTGCACTGTCCTCAGATTGACACTCAAACACTCAGAAAGATTCATATTGGAGCTTCCGGCGCGAATCCCAAGCAGTTCCGCACGCGAAATGAAAAATATAATATGGCGACAATTTACCCATCGCATTCTGTATGTGTAAAAAAGCTGAGTATCATCTACCATGTACTCGATTGTGAAAGTAGAATAACATATACTTTTTATTACTTCTAAGCGCCGAGAAAATTAAATTTCGGCATTAAATAACTCATATGCCGTTAAACAGTCAATTCAGTCAATCAATCCCTCGGGGAAAGCAGGTTTTAATCCTATTCCTTAATTATCCTTTCTTCTCAATAATCTTTTCTCGGTTTCCTTCAGTCTCAGCAACCACCTGTGTCTAAGTAGATTAATCGGTTTGTTTTGGATAAAAGGATTTAAAAATATATGAATGCACCAGATCATCTTTCTCGCTCTCTATAAAAATGTCACGGTCATCCCAACCCCAAGATAGGATACCATTAGTGAAGAATAAATCAAATTCATCTTGTATTCTCTTTTTTGCTTCTTAATATGGCGGGGAAATCGCTCACAATTTGAATATTTAGATCTTGCAAGAAAAACCAATGTATTCAACAATCCTGGATCAACGGAAGCTGAATAGAATCGTGGCTGGTGGAAGATGGCGACGAATGACGCTATGGTCATTACTTCTAAGAATTATAATTTGTCGTCTGCAATAGTTTTTCACTCGTTGAATGTTAAATAAACTTTCGTGGCCGTGAAGCACGCATGCGCAAAGAGATCCCAATATGCCACATTAACAGATAGATATTGAAGCGTAATATCATACTGAATAATATTCATTAAGCAAAATTGGATGAAAACATTGCATTTGGGAATTTATTATATACTAGCAGTAGAGTCCGGCGTTGCCCGGGAATGTAACAGTAAGAGATAGATCAAGTATCGACCATCATGAAGACTGAAAAATAAAATTGACAAAGATTATTGTTTGAGGTTGATGGACACGCATGTCTTAATTAGTTTTTTTTTTTTTTTTTTTTTTTTGGGGGGGTTACGAATTGGTCAAACCCAAACTCAAACAAAAACATTGTTTTCAATCGTTATGAGTCTACCAATTGAATAGAATTTTATTATAAACAATTGTCTTGTAAATGGAATTTTAAAGCATTCTGAATGTAAAAATAAAGAAAAAAGTGTGCAAGACAATAAGAAACACTACCTGCCAAAAAGTGAAGTTTTGTTGAAATCGGTTGAAAAATGTAGGAAATCCGATCCCATATATAAACGAACACACACACACACACACACACACACACACACACACACACACACACACACACACACACACAAACAACCTGGGTTTTATAATAAGTATAACTTGATATGAGTTGTCCCCCTTTCATTCTAGCGAGAATCATGTTTTATCGTGTTTTCAAATTAATTTTGTGCGAAAACAATTGTGTATTTCTAAATTTGGGCGCTGTCAGAACCATCGCAAGGTAATTTTACGTAGTCCTGTGAAGTTTTGTTTAAATCAGTTCAAAAATGTAGGAAATCCGATCCAATATATAAACGTAAAGACACACACACACACACACACACACACACACAATCTGCGTTTTATAATAAGTAAGATTTATATTAAACTGAGTGTGGATAAACAAGTCAGTAATTTGGGGGAATTGGCATAAGTAATGTCTAGTGTTAACCATTGCTGGTTTCGATGTAGGTAATTGATAGCATTGTACAAACGCCTTGAACATTTATTTGAACTCAAGCTCACTGTAGTCCTCAAGTTGAACCCGTTTATACCACCCACCGCTAAATATGTCGTCAAAATAATCGTTTACTTTCATCTTTCTAGACTCAACCTGACTCCTACTATGCTCTACCTTTACAAGAATGAGATCAGGCCAAAAATGGAGTTTTGCTGTTATATTTGGGCTTGACTTTCC